AGGGCTACAGTGGTAATCAATATTTACATTATGGTAGCATCTACAAGCCCAATCATGATTAGTGCCTACTGGACTAAGCTGAGTATAAATGTCACCAGAGTCCCTCATCCCAGTAGTTTAATCTCTGAGAAAAGAAGAGTTACCTCCTGCTAACTCTAAACCACATTTGCTCAGGTAATGCTGGGACGTGTTTTCCTGTCTATTGACTTCAGCCATTAATGTTTAATTGTTTGGGGAGTACTGTTTTTTGAGATGAGTTCCCAGATACTTCATATTCTAGAAGTGAGACACAGAATGTGGACTCCCCAACCATCCCACATATTTTCCTCATAACCTACACCTGTTGAGATCCATATGAAATGATGATGTTCCATGAGCCAATTATATCTAACCTTGAATTTAGTTTACTACTAGTTCCCAACAGAGGTCCTCTGAAATCTAATTTAGTACCCTCCTTCTACAACAAAAAAGGTGTGTCAACCAGAGGAAAAAACTGTCCAGCACCTAAACATCTTTCAGGGCTCATTGAAATGAGGTAAAATAGAACTATGAAGCATTTAATAAAATCAGGAAGGGATTGCTGATGTGCTGTTTTCCACAGTGCCAAGCATAATGAAACTAGGCAACTGATATCTTAAAAAATTTATCTGCTTGGCACTGAAGCTCATACAACTACAGAGGTTGTAGAACCACAACCAAACTTCTCAGATCACAGCACTGCACAAGATACAAGCGGCATTCTATCTTCACTGCTGCCTACTATTTTGTTTTGCATAGGAATTGCTCTGCCTCCATGGAAAGACCCAGTGAATAAGTGATGTCACAGAATGAATCCATAAACTCAGAATTCTGAATGATCTAGTAGAATAGTGATTCCCTCAAATCCACATACAACCTTCCCCCTTCAACACTGGATGACCTCCAGTAAGCACAAGATAAACCTAAGTTACAAGACTAAAGCCACATTTTCCCTACAGTTTACATGGATGCAGGTGAGGACCAGCACAAGCCCACCTTGACTGTGGCCTCCAGCCATGCATGTTCACACCTCCACACTTATACACTCATGGATTGCCTTGCATAAAACAGCTTAGGGATGGGAACTGGCAGAAAACTTACCTTACAAAAAGAAGTGAACTGTCTTCTGTCTGTCTGTGGCTCTATGACTGCTGCAGGGCCTAGTTGTGAACACTGGGATCTGCTGTGCCACCATGTCTCAGCTGACAGGATAACAGCATCTCAAGCCCTTCCAGCAGGATCATACAGTCCTCTAGGCTGTGGCTAAAATCAAAGCTGCTCCAGTCCCCACTGTCTGTCCCCTTTCCCGTCACAGCTTCTGATTCCCACCTCCTCTTCTGAGGTACCACTGATGCCCACACAATTGCACAGTGATTCAGTCAAAAACTAATCCAGAAACAGAGAGGTTATTTCCCATCTGGTTCAGTTCCCCAGATCAAATCTACTGGCCAGTCCCAGGAAAGGCAGTGGAGGAGATGGGACAGCACAGATGTGGGGCACACAGCAGGACTGCAGCTGCCCTGGCTTTAAATGGCTCAAAGCAGTTGCAGAACTTTACCTGTAGGTTGCAACAAAAAAACATTAGCAGAAACCTGTCTTTCAAAAGCATAGAAACCTTGGATAGGCCATTCAACCTCACACCTCAAACAAGCGCAATGGGCAAAAAAAAACGGGCCTTATTAAAACAAAACAAAGTAATAGCAAACCCACCAATGCCTACCTGTAAAGACTTTAATACTCATACCAATAAAAAAATTAAATTAATTTATGTTTTCTGCACCTCACTCTATCAACACAATCCAATGTGAACATTTAGAAATGTACTCATTAAAGACAAAATAAAGGATTAGTCTTTATAGACACACACAGCCTACTGCTGACACAAGCTCCTTTACTGCAACAACAAATCTGCAGATGTATCATTTGGAATTTTTTTCCTGTAAGTCTGCTCTAGCTTTCTCACAATAGCAGAAATGTGTATTTTACTATTATCCCTTAAGTCTTGATAAATATGTTCTGTAGTAGCTGTTCTCCAGACAATTTCATTTAGGCCTCTTCCCCTTTATTCCTCTACTCTAATAGAGAACAGTTTCTATTTATGACTTCCTTTCCTTCACAGAGTACCTAACTCCCATGTTTTCTCAAAGGCTTGAGATTTCCTTCTAATTGTGACCCCAGCAAAAGTGCTTAGAGCACTATTCTGTGCAACTTTTCATTTGGGCTCTCAGTGACTCCACACGGTCAGAGATCCACAGGTCAAACCCTCCAGATATCAGAGGAGTTAGGAGAAGGAAAGCAAGCATTGTATAGAATCTGACAGGCCATTAGAAGTAGCTAATAAAGCCATATTTTGTTTGTAGCCATTTGTTACCAACCCACATTACAAATTCGTCCGCTTTGAACTTTATGGGAACATTCATGCCAGGACTTTTATATACAATGTGTGAAGGAAACGGAACAACTATTGAGCTGTTTAGCTGAGCTTACTGTGTCACAAACCTGCTGAAAAAACTCCCCCCAAAGGGTGACACAAGCCAGCATTCAGTGCTGCAGAAAGTGGCCAGCTCCTCTTCGAATCTATCAAAGGGAAACTCTTTTTCAAAGCCACATCAGAGAAAACCATTCACCATTTAGTATTACATCTCTTTTGTTGGTTTTTGACACTTGTATAAGCTTGCTATGTAGCTGCTGTGATTCTACACAATGCCCTTAAGAAATAAAAAGATAACGGGCAAATAGTATAAATACCAGAATACCATGAAACAAAACATAACTAAATTTTATTAAAAGCCTAACCCACTGCTATAACTTCAAGCTTCACTGTACAAAGACAAGTTACTGATTACTACCCTGAAGAACCACATTACCTTGAAAACAAGCTTCAGAAGCCATATTTAGTATGCCAAAATGAAGCTAACTAGGAATGCTAAACAAGGGATAGTGATAAAGGGTTTTCATAAGCAGTCCAAAACATAATACAGAACTCTCCTGTTTCAGGAAAAAAAACACCATGTTCATATATGGTCAAGCCATCACCCAAAACAGACTTATATTAAAGCCTTTATCTTGTTCACCATATCTTGAATGTATGGATTATTCCTAATTTCTAAGACATCTTCCTTGGATGTAAAATGACTGGGAGTTTGTTGACATGATCAAAAAAAACCTTTGTCTCTATATACAAAGGATTGAAGTTGTTTTTAGATTGAAAAAGAAAACAAACAAACAAAAATCCCACACCAAAACCAAAATAAAATACAAAATTATAATATACTCCATTCCCCTCCATATGAAAACAGCAGGGTTTTTGAGTATATAAAGTGCTCTCTGGTTATGCATCACCGCTTTTCAGTAACGAAGTGTCTCAATAACAGCATTTGGGACCAACTTAGAGTTTAAACTATGTGGCCAAAATGGTTAACATTCACTGTTAATACTACCAGCTTACCCATACCTAGAATAATTATGAGCTACTAAATATACCAAACACTCAGGGACACAGATAATACCCAATACTCTGCTTAGATATCATAATGCTGGAGATAGGACAGAGCATGGATTAAAAGTAGGACAATTATTTGAGAAAAAACACAGGCAAATGAGCAGAACATTAGTTGATAAATAACTTTACTTCTCCTTACCCTAATAAACACTGTTCATGAAAAACTGGGAGGTTAAAAGTCTCTTTTAATATCTCTGCTTTTTAAACTGGGTAGTTGTTGCCAAAACAGTTCAATGTCCACAGTAGCTACTATTTTTAAGGTAAATGCCAACATTCATTTCTGAGACCTGTTCAGAGAAATTAGTCTGTTTAAAAAAGGGTTCCTGAAAACCTGTCAAATTAATACTAGGTTCAAAGCAAATTGGTACTCTTCTTACACCAGTTTCCATAGCTTCTCCTGAGACATGCATGTCTCACATGTCATGTAAAGAATTTGTGGCACATACACTCTCCTAGGTGCCAAAGATGTAACTTTGAAATACTATGTTTATTTCCCTATTTTTAGGGATTTACAATCATGCCATGTGCCAGAGGTAAAATATACACCATACTACCAGATTTCACAAATACATTTGGTATCTTAATATGGTAAACTCTTTAGAGAGATCCAACTGCAAATGAATACATATCCACTGAACTGCAGGAAATATCCTATATGCTTATGATACAATATTCCAAGCCAGAGCACACAGTTTATAAAGTTTATATAGTTTCATCATTTAAGCTGAACATATTCTAGTTGGTTTAAATTCATACTGGTTTAGTACCAACAAACAAGAAAATCCCCAAACCACAAGGGGCACACAAAGACAAAGCTGAGTACTTTGTCTATTATAGTGAAATAAGACCTTCAAAAATGCAAGTAGCTGCAATGTCTTCACAAAGTATATTCCTTCGTGCCCCTTCACCCACAGCAGAATGTGTAGAGCTCAGAAAAACTAAGAAATATTAGTACAAAGTAATCTCCTAATCAAAAGATCAACCTAGTCTAAGTATCACTGTCATTCCTGCTTCTACATTTCTGTAGTAATAGATAGTAGCAGAATTAACATGCCAATCTCATTACTGCTCAGGGTTTGGAGCAAATAACTCCTGGTTACAGTATTCTAAACCAGAATCTACTGAAAACATTTGAAAAGGGCACAGAAAAAAGCCTCCTCCTCACCAGATTGGTTTGTGCAAGTATGGAATTCCTAAAGCTAAAAAAAAATTAATCAATCCATTTCCTCTATACAAATATACGTGTGCACAAGCACAAAATATGCATGTACATAAACAGTGCTGCTTTGAACCAGAACAAGCCTAAGCAAAGTCCACTCATATACAAACTGTCAGTTCTCACATTTTTTAAAACAATTTTTCATCAACTTTGTTTAAGATTTCTTCTTTCAGTATTTCTCATCTGCTCATCCGAGATACAATGAAATGCTATGTAAAATGCCTTCATTTTAAAATACTGAAACAAACATTATTTTCTTACTGGTAAGCTTGACGGTCTTTCTTGCTGGATTAGATTCAAGTCTTCATGGTTAGGCTTTCCTGGTGCCATAGGGGGTTGAGATCTGGTTCCATAGCCTTCCTGAGACATGTCCTGCAATAACAGTTGTAAAAAAATTATTAACTTGACTCAGTAATTACAATTAAATACATATCACAGAAGGGTGAAAATATAACAGCTGAGTGATGATGGTTTCTTTGGTCAGAAGTGTTTACTAGTTAAAGCTTTTTGATAGAAATATCAAGCCCACACAGGTACCACTATGACATATGCTGTTTGTAAAGAAATCCAGGGAGCTGAGATGCATGCCAACATCCAGCAGGGACTCACACCCCTGGAACAGGGGGAAACACACAAAACCAAACCTCTTAAATAAACAACCCCCTTTTACTGTAAAAGAATAAGTAGCAAGCATGAACATTCATCCTACTCTGAGGTATATTCTCAGGCGTTTTGATGAAGTACTGAGCCAGGTGGAAGACTAGACTTGAAAATAAGATTGCAATCACGCTGTGTAATCAGACTCCTGCAACAACCCTGGATTTACCATCGCTGCTACTGGCGCAACTTTCAAACACTGGCTATCAGGTCATAGCACACAATGCAGCTGCTGCATCTGCTGGGGGCATGCTGCATCTGAAGGGTTAGAAGGCAAGTGTATTTGATCAAGAATAGCTCCAAAGCCTGTACCAGTAACATGGAGATTTTCCTCCCTGCACGAGCCCAGGTAGGCTTAGGTAATGGCCTAACACAACATCCACCATACACAGGCGGGGGGAGCAACAAAACAACCTCCCATGAGCCATCCCCCATCCTCCAGCACAAGCTTACTTCACATGCAGAAATAGTTGCCCATTGCAAAGCCTTAAATTCAGGCTTCATTTTAGCTACGATAGCAGCTTCTACAGCAACTTCTTCAAGGAAAACAACAGAAAGCACAGTACTGACTTCAGCATGTGTTACTGGCAGGGAAAGTTGAAGAACCAGTTCCTGACTGCTAGAAAAGATATCTTGCCTTTTTCTTCGTTGTTTTTAAATTGTTTAATTTTCCTCTCCCCCTCACGAGCTTACTACCAGTTCAGCTTGCTTCAGCCATCCTCAGACCTTTAGTTTTCAGGGATACCTAAAGCAGGTGGGTGCTGCAGGCACAAGGGGCAGGGGAAGCTGTCCTCTGCCCCACCCCACTATCACCTTGCTGCTGCCTGTGTGGGGCTGCTCAGGCAGCCCAGTGCCCACAGCCACAGCTGCAGCTCACGCAGAGACTCCAGGAGGCAGCTGGCTGGCAGAGCAGGAAAGCTTTCTGTCTCTGGTTTTAGCCCAGCTTCTGACAGAGAGAAATTTGTTAACAACTGTACCGTTTCCATTCAGCCCCTTCCACCCATCTGGGACTCTCCCAAATTATTTTAAGGGATGTAGAAAATTCAATGGGGCTAATAAAACAAACCCCAACAAACCTGATACGATATAAACCCAGCAATAAATGATCCTATCCCTAAGCCTGTGCCAAGTAAAATCAAGAAACACTTAAAAGGCCAGCACTTCAATGTGGTTACCAGCAGAGGGTAACAATTAGGCTTAAGGGTGACAAAGGCTGATGGCTGAATGATTATTATCCCCTGTGACCCCCCACACTCCCCCCCGCCCAGATTTCCACTTGTCACACAGCTCTCCTGCTGCGCACACCAGCAGGTTCCTGTGGATTAACAGTGAGGTTTAAAATCAACAAATGGCACAAGGCCTCCATTCAGCAGCCTTCACCCCAGTACAAAGGAGTAGAAAGGTGCAGGACAGCTTCACAATAGGCAAACAAATGAGCAAACCTCTGCTTTCCTTTTTATTTAAAAACGCGCAGGCACATACACACACACACACACACACACACACACCACGCTCACGCACGCTGGGGGCTGTCACTGCGCAGGCATTCCTAATAAACCTGGCAACCCCAGATTTCAACTTCCAGTTCAGCATTCGATGTCATTCTTCCTAATTCTTAAAAAAATACACCAAATTAAAACCACTTGTCAAAACAACAACAACAAGAAAACCACACAGAAATACCAAGAGTGGTGAAAAAGGATAAATGGAATATTCAGTTTAGGAGATGTCATTGTAGAAACACAATTGTTCCTTTTCCCAAACAGACACTACAGGAATTTGCTGGGGAGCAAAACGTGTTTTATATTTTGAAAAATCAAGAGCTATCACTTCCTTATGAAGTACCAAGCATTTTTTCCCACAGGTTTAAAAGATTTTAACCTTACTTCCTACTGAAATTTCCAGGGACACTGGCGCAGGAGAGGGAAGAGACAGCATGCTTTCTCTTGAGAAATACTGCAGGTTGAATGGAATTTACTTTTACCTGGGTATTTGAAGACTATGTATGAAATGTCTTTCCTCACACTGAAGAGCACATTAAAAACTTCAGACATGACACCTTTTGTATTTTTAAACACACATTTTTATAGTCTTCTTTCTGACTGTGGAAAAAATCAAATCCATTTGCTCTATTCTAGATGAGGTTTGGAAACATGCAGAAATTAGTGTTTGTTAATGATGCAGGCACCTGTGCATTCCAAATGGGACTGAGATCACAAACTCATTCTTACATTCTCCGTAAAGCTGTGTAGATATGTTGATCACTGGAAACTTGGAAAGCAGCTCTTGAGAAGTAAAGAATCAGTTTGTTCTCAGTAAGCTGCAAGCATGGGAATCTCCCGGATGAAATATGCATGGGACTGTGTGTATAATTTTATGTGTTTATACATATGCATTGTCCAATAAAAACAGTCCATTTATATACTAAACATAATGATTAAATAATAGCATATTTCACTAAGAGGTTGGCTTCATAACGAAAATAGCGCTTAGTATCATTTTCACTGAAAAACAGAAGAGAGAAAATCCCTACTGCCTTTCTTCAGTTCCACATTTGGAAATACTGTTAATATACAGCGTATGACAGAATAGCTACAACAGATTTTGAGAGATAAGTAAGAAATAAGGACAGCAGTATTAGGGTAAATTGTCTGTCATGGAAGAAATGCGTGGTACTGGCAATTCTCACCTGCATCTTTGAAAGGTCATTTTTCTTTCTAGCATCTAGGAATAGATTTATTGGGGACTGAACAGAGGGAACATAAGGGGAAGAGGAACATGTCACCAAGTGTTGTTCTAAGTCACGGCTGAGGAATTCCCCATTGATACTGGGATTCCTGATTTTTTTTCATTTGACTCCCAGTATTTCATCCACCACTAACATTGGTTTTCAAAGCAAAGCTTATGATTTTTTATGAATCACAGAAAATTCATGTACTTAAGAGAGAAATCCAGGCTTTTATAAACAGAAGGCTACAAGTTTCCACTCAGAACTTCCCAACTGGGCACAAACCCAATCATATCATAGCTGTTACAGCACAAACTGTCAACAAAGTTATTTTATAACTAAAATCAGGGTTTCCTCCATCAGATTTTAGAAAAGCACAAGGACAAATAATCAGCAAGTCATAAACATATACTCAAAATAGCTGACGTTTAGACTTTTTCACACTTTTCAAAACACATTTATTCTGTGAAACAGGTAGACCAAAAAAAAAAAAAAAAGGATTAGACACAGTCTAAACCCCATGTATTGGGTAAGCTATTCAGAAATCTATCCATATACAATTATTATATTTGGGTGGTAATAAAAATAACAGCAACAAACTGCTTATCATCCACAGAGCCAGGACTAGTTATTCATCTCCTGTTCACATACACTTTTAGCTTGTTCTGCAAATTGTGGTAAATGGAGCTCAAGATTTGTGAAGTCTGAGGAGTAAGGGAGGAAATGGGGTATTTTCTTCCCTCTTATTCTCTGTTACTGTATTCATCTTACAGACTTTCAAAGTCTCTAATTCTGGTGTGGTTTAAAGCGACTGAGCGAGCCTATGTACTGGCCCACAATAAAGTCAAAGGCTCCTTGGTCCTGCCTCCCACAATTCTTCCAGCTGGACACACATCCCTTACTTTGTATTAGTAGTCTTTATTAGACCATTTTGTTAAGTGGTGTTAAGTTTGTTAAAACTTGCCAGTTAAGTAACTCCTTTCCCCCAGCTTTATCATGAGTTACTGAGTAGAACTGGCCTCAGGAAGGGTTGGGTGAGTAAGAAAGGAAGGAAATCTCCCTCCTTCGGCAGCAGCCAGCCATGAGCCTGGCTCCACACTTGCAGCAGTCAACTACACTGAGACCACTTTGGAGCAGGCCACTGACAGACAACCTTTTCCCTTTTTCGTGTGCAATGCTAACTAGTGTCATGCTTTCATGCTCTAGCTGGTCCTATCCTAAAACAAGCAAGCCTGTCCACATTGACATGTTCTCTGCAAACCTGAATGAAAATTGCACTGATAATGCTGGAAACCATGTAGATGAAATGCACATTTGTTATAAGGTCTGCCGAAGATGATTAAATCTAATTATTAAATAGTTTAGATTATTTTTAATAGAAAATGAAGGCATAGGGAAAATATTACTATTTGAGGGAAAACCACATTTAAAGAAGGGCTGGGTGAGAAATATCATTCAGGCTTCATCCACTTCTACTGCAGTGAGTTTCAGAGGGATAACATGACCACCCAGGAAGATAAGTACCATGATGGTTAAATAGAAAGAAAATAATTTATTGAAAATAATATGCTAGACTTCAACTTGAAAAACTCATTAAAAACTATTTTAGCTCATCTTCTTGATTCACTGGGTTGATCCTTAGAAGACTTCAAGTGTGAGAGCAGCAAATTCTACAGCAACGTGACAACAGCACAGTTGAAAGCAAATTTCCTCCCGTTCCCCAGACCACTTGAGAATGGAAGTTAGGACCCAGTATAGCAGCCAAGAGGACTGCACAGCCCTACAATACGAGATTATTTTACTTATCTATGATGGAATACTAGTGAACGTAAAGAAGCCAAGTGATATGTTAGGGGCTATAGAAGGACATTCCTTGTTATGACTTAACCAAGCATCGGTTCATTCTGTGTAGATAAATACATATCAATACATCTCCACTATTTCCACCTTCTGCACAAAAAGGCTACAATAAAGAAAAAAATTACTT